GCAGGACTGGCCTGGGGCTGGTCCAAAGGCCTCAGGGGCCGCATCCGTCCTCCCCAAGGCCTTAGGTTGCCTACCCCTGCTTTAGGCTATTCAGCCGGGCACCACTTTTTAAAGAATTTGGGATGGGGGGGAGCTTGGAACGTGGGTAGTATGCCAGATAATTTCAGAAGTTGCAGATGTGGGGGTTAGAGGCCTACCCCACATGCTAATTATACTGAATTTCCTCTTCTCACCTAGTTCTGCCTCTTGATGATGTACATTGCCAGTGACTGCTGCTGGCTTCCTGATAAGTGGAGAGAACTTAGAGGAACTGTCCAAGGTTCTGGACCTGTTTGGGAGATAGGCCCTGTGGGATTTTGGACAGCACCTTTAAATTTCAGAATAAAACAGGAAAAAGATTCACTCACTGACCTGGAAGCCATCAGCTGCCATTATACATTGCTCTTTCCTTGCTGGTGCTAGCACCATGGAAATAGTGATGAGTATCAGGATCACGATCAGAAAAGAGAGATAAGTATCAGGGGTGGAGGAAAGACTATCCATTATTTCTTGTAGAGATCCTCATAGGATTCATTCATTATTTACTGGAAAGCCCCCTTGATTTGGGTTTTCTTTTTGCTTTTAAACTATGCCAGGGGAAAAAAAAAGATATGCTTTCATTTTCATTTCAGACTGCTTCTTCCTTTTTAGCAGTTGTACCCCATAATTCAGGAGTTGACAAAGGGTCACGGGTTATGGGGGCATATTCACCCCCCCAAAGAACTTGGACAGCTCCAACTTCATGCAAAATATATTTCCCAAATGCCCTCTAGGGTGCATGGAGGGCCACAATTCCACAAAATGATAGCTTCTAAATGCCCTCTTGGGGCACGGGGGGCATTTGTACCATGTCTTTGACCTTCCCTAGACCATTTAAGTCCCAGGAGAGGTCTTCTTTTACATCAGGAATTGACCTGGAAGTCACATCTGGGTCATTTTCCTGATTTTAGAAAGGTTTCTCTTGGGCCTAAAATGGTACAGCACCTCCCTGCAATGGCAGAAATTGCCTCCTCCCATGAGCATGTTTGGGAGCATTTGTGGGGCCACCCCTACCTTAAGTCAATGTTGAGAAGCAATTTGCAGATGACAGAGGACATAGCCATGTGAGAAGCCCAGAGAGCTGGAATGGAACCCTGTGAAAATATGATTTGGTCTTAGAGCTTGAAGTTCTCCACCCCTGGCCTCCAGTGAATAGCCAGCATCTGTAGTAGTCATTATTCTCCATTGTTGTTGTTACTGTGTGCCTTGAAGTTGTTTCCAGCTCATGTCAACTCTAAGGTGAACTTATTGTGGAGACTTCTTGGCAAAATTTCTTCAGAGAAGGCTTTTCCCTTGAAGCTGAGAAAGTGTGTTTGCTCAGGTTCACCCAGTAAGTTTCCATGCCAAGTGAGGATTTAAATCCAGGTCTCCCAGGGACATGGTTCAGCATTCAACCCACTACACCACATGGGTTATTTAGCCTCAGAACTGCTCCCATATTGTTGGGTGCTATCCCTTCTATCCTCACTCCCCCAAATTTGAAAACTTAATCATTTTAGGATTTTTAAAAATGAATATTCTAGTTATTCAGCCAACTATATAATGGTAGTCTGATGGAGAAGAGTGAATTTCTCATTAAGTCTTAAGTTATATGTACACACACAAAGACACTTATGTTGCCAAAAAAAAAAAAAATCACCACTTGTGGTCTAGTGTATATGTTATAATATATTTCTAATTATTGTACTGTAACTGACCTAGGTTATACTAAATTTCTAACTATTCTGTAAAATTGCATTATTTCTCCCTGTTTGTGCTAGAAGATAAGAACTAAGTATATTAAATAAGAGTCTTGAATGAAATGAGTTTGCTCCATGATGGTTTGAAATGGAGTGTGCATGAAGCCTTCGTTCTTGATGTTTATGGTTGTGGTTTGCTGTGCTGATTGTGGCTAATAATAAAGTATGACAGATGTTGTACTTTCTGGCATATTTATTACTCATGTATTAACTGATATCTAAGTAAGTCATGAGGGAAGAGGGATACTGTTGCAACTGAGTCTTGTGAATAGCTTTAGCAGAAGAAAGAAACCCCTTTTCCCTGTTCTAGAAACCAGTTTCTCTTACCTCTGATTCATTCTGTATGATTGGGAGGGATGCTGATGTGATACAGGAGAGGAGCACCTCCGGCAGTTGCTGGAGGCTTCCATGTCACTGGGATAATGGATCTGCTCAGGGTTTTATTCTGAACCTCAAAGGAGGATTGGCCCAAGCTGGACAAGCCAGTGTGGTGTAGTGGTTTGAGCCTTGGACTGCTACTCTGGAGACCAGGGTTCGAATCCCTACTGGACCATGGAAACCCATTGGGTGACCTTGGCCAAATCACATTCTCTCAGCCTCAGAGGAGGGCAAAGGCAACCCCCTTCTAAACAAATTTTGCCAAGAAAACCTTTTGACAGGTTAGCCTGAGGGTTGCTATAAGCCAGAACTCACCTGAAGGCACACAGCAGCAACAAAGGAGAGTTCCTTTAAAGTTGATGCTAACAACCCAGAGCAGATTTACCATCCCATGGGCATGCAAGCCATTAGTTGCCATAGAGAGAGCACAAATCTCCCAGGGTCAGACAAATTGCAGTGGCTGATCGCATGAAGACCTCATTCATGTGAAAATTTCAATTCACACCAGAGCCCTTGGGCCTGGTGACAAGATGGGATCTGATCTGCTACTCTATGCATCATCATTGTTGCTGTTATTGTTATTGTTAACATTTTTTACACCCTACCTTTCCTCCAAAACTGGGACTCAAGAGCTGTGATATATCAGACAGTGTCAGGGCTCAGATGCTGAATCCTTGTAGGTAGTGATGGAGTTTCTGCAAATACAAGCACATTTTTGAGCATTTGGGCTCTCTCTAATTTATCAGGGTCAAACCAGAGGAAATGTTACTTGTGTGGATGCCATCCATGTACAGTATATACACAATTTTTGTTACATAAATAGCAGCTGTGATGGAAGCCCAAATAACCTTTGAACCAAAGCTTGGGAATGTTTCCTTTAAAGATTACAGTTTCCAGAATTCCACTGTCAGCATGGGATTCTGGTATTTCTGGCACAACCCCCTCCCAAGTTCTGTTCTTGGGGAGTTAAGGAGGGAATGTTTAACTCTTTGCTTGTTAAAAGAACAAAACAAAACTCTGCATGGGCTTTGTAGCATGGGCCATGAGAGGACAAACTGGAGAAAAATGTGATTTTTTAAAAAATAGGTTTACTTTAATATTTTTTTTAGAGGGCAAACATAATTACCTTAATTTCGATTGCTTTTTCAACTTGCTCAATAGGAAAAAGAGGATTCCTACAATGAACCAAGAAATCCTCCAAGCTGATTATTAGCTTTAAATTGACAGAACTCCATCAAAGTAAGGGCACTCCAATGTACAGCAGCAGAGTCCTTGAAACTATGGCTGTAATGAAACATGAACATATTCCCCTTTGAATAATTTTCAAAGAACTAGAATCTTCAAAAGGAGAAGCAAAACGAAAACCTCTGGCATGTTTACTGCCTAGTAGTTTCAAACAAGATTTTAACTTGCACTAGGCAGTCATTAGTTTTTTAAAAATGGGATATTTTCCTCTTTCTTTAATCTTTTAAAATTTCCCTTTCCCTTTAAACAAATGATTGTGAGTTTATTTATTTGTTTTACACACGATGACATACTTTAAGAGTCAGAGGTAATTTCCTTATAGACTCCATCCAGCCCTAAAAGTCAAGCAGCACATTTCCTTCTTAAGTTGCAGATAAGGGGGACAAATCATCCATACACATTAGCATGAAGTTAAAAAGGCATATTACAAGCACAAATGTATATTTAATAAGTAAACATTGTGTACAAGATATAGTAATTTTTCACTTACTGCACTTTCTTTAAGTTGATGGATCTGAATTCCTGCATTTTAGTCTGAAGCTAAATAGGACATGAGTTTTTCAATATTTTTGGAAATATATGAAAGTCCCCAATGCCTTCTACCTGTATATCATAGTGGGGACTGGTGGCTTCCATGTCAGTACAGAGGTGAATCCAGTCTGGCTTTAGTCTAAATTTTAAAAGACTAAAGTACTGAACCTATTTGGGGGATATGGCTCAGCATCTAACTTATGGACTAAAGTGCAGAGCAGATTCACCACTGTACCAGCTGCCACTGAAATATATAAATGCTCTCTCTCTCTCTCTCTCCCGTTCATCAAAAGTCAATTCCCATTGTATCTAGTGAGGTTTATTCTCTTCTTAATGTTTTGGGGGTGAAGCTTAAAGCACCTTCTTTGAGCATTTTGCTTTGGAAACCATAGGGGAAAGATTTGTTTTCTTGGAAGAAGGTTGGCCAGATGGTTCTTGAAATGTGTGATGGCCCTAAAAATGCCCAAACTGAGTCCCTGTGTGTAGACTGAAAACAACTTGTGTCCCTCCACCTTGGGCCAAATTTTCTATCCAGGGAAGATGTGCCTGAAACTGAAACAGGTACTTTTGTCTCCTCTTATCATTGCATTGAAAAGAGATTACATTTCCCAGATACCATATGTTCTTCCTTAGCTAGTGAAGTCTGACTGCAAAAAGGAAAATGACTCACCAGTGCCATTCTTGTTATATGAAGGAACTTCTCTAGATTCACCATTTGTACATTGAGCTGGTTCAGATCTCAATTTAACAGAGGTACAAATGAACCTCCTAACCCTGTACATAGTCCTTTCATTTTTCCCTTTGACATAAGGAACGGTTAAACTATTAAGTCTGAAATTAGCTATAGTTTCCCATTACATCCATGCCAGAAGAAGTTAGCCAAAAGAACAAGCTGGGACTTTAAATCACTGTCCACAACCAGTTTAAGATCCTAGCTTGTTGTCCCAAAGCTCTTTACTAGTTTGAATGAAAAAGGTCAATATAGAGGCTTTGTCATTTAACTATGCTCAATGTTTCAGAAAAAAATACAATTTCCATGATTCCCTAGCACTGAGCCAGGGCAGTTAGTGGACTCAATTTGCACTATTTCTAGCAGTCTGCAAAGGCCCAAAGTATGTATTTGCAAGAGAATTTTGAATTTCCTATAGACTGGGGCCATTTTCTCACTTCAAAAACTCCAAATATATTTTTTTAAAAAGTGCCCCCTTCCCATGCATGAAAGTGAGATCACAGATCAGGAAGAAGAAAATGATAGGCTGGAACTTGTAAAATGGCCTTTGCTCTTGATATTCCTGGAGTGATAAACTGAGAACAATTGCCCATTCCTCCTTCTAACAATGACAAAGGTTCTCTGGACCTTTCTTTCATTTGGTGGTGGCTTGGAACAATGGGAATATGGACTTTTGTTTAATTAGTTAGAGACTTTTCAGCATGATTGAGCTAATCTACAAAAAGCACTTTCCTGTTCATGTCATCCTCGTATCTATTGTGTTCTTCTGTTTATTGCCTTTTGAAGATCAATTTGAAAGATTTCACCAAAACAAAACTAGTAAAACATCAACATGATAGTTTGAATAGGGAATATCAGTCAGGGCCAGGATCTAGTAATGTCTTTGTTTCTTTAGTTAGAGACAAACATACTGCACTTAAATAGGACTAAACATTTTACATGCCATTTAGAAATATAAAAGTAGGCAAACAAAGAAAATTCCTTGGTACAATTGCTTTTAAGAAATAATATGACTTGTAGCTTAATAGGCTATCATGGGAAATGTTTGATTAATATCTGCCACAGGCATTTTCTCCCCAACTTGGATACAAACACCTTACTCCAATAGTTAGCCCTAACCAGAGTAGGCCCATTGAATCTGTTGTGAAATGGCAAGCCAACAGTTACTCAAATATCACAATTCAGTGAGTCTACCCTAGTTGCTACTAGCAGTTGTATATATGCCTATATGTTTTAGCCCAGTGATCTCCAAAGTGAGTGGTATGCCCCACCCAGGGGTTGTGGGAATATCCGGGGGGAGGGTTGAGGGGAAAAGAGGGCAGCAGAGGGGTCTTCAGTCAAAGTACTGGTGCTCAAGAAAGACAAGGGGAACAAGTGGCCTTTAGGATCATGGTGGAGATGAGCATGTGTGGGTAGGGTAGAAGTGGTGGCAAAAAGGAGCTTTCACATTTGGAACTCCGCTTAAGTTTTGAGAGCTTTGCTGGGACTTGAATGGCAGATTGTAGCTACCTTGCTGCTCTTGCTTTCTTAGGCCTGAGAAGAGGTAGCAGACTAAACAATATTGTGTCAGGTGGGGTGGGGGGATGACGTGAAGCTGTGTGGGAAAGGCATGGCCCTGGGGAAAGATGGGGAGGACCATATGGGGTTGATTCTTCACCACTCTAAGATTGAGACTGAGGAGAAAAATTTGAAGCCAGCTATGCTCCTCTCTGCCTTGGAGAAGGAGGATTGAGAGTCCTTCCTCACTGGGGAGAAACTTCTTGCTTTGCACTCGGTCACCTTTGGAGAAGAAACTGAGCAGCTGGTCAAGGAGCAACCAAAAAGCCTCTCACCCATGCTGGCCTTTGCATGTGCAAGAGGCTTTTTGATCACTGCTCAACAAGCTGCTCAGTTGCTGCTCCCAGGATGACTGATTGCAAAGTGAGCAGCAAGTGAGCAGCTGGTTGAGCAGTGACTGGGAAACCTCCCACCAATGCTAGCCTGCAGGAATGTCTGGCATAGGTGAGAGCCTTCTTGGTTGCTACTGGATTGCTTTCTTGGTTGCTGCTTGGTCACTGCTCCCTTTGTACTCAGTCACCCTGGGAGCAGCAACTGAGCATCCGGCCAGCTGGTCTTCCTTTTGCTGTAAGGCTGGTACAGGGAAGACAGAGGAGCAGGTTTGGGCCTCCACTGCTGCTGCTGCTGCTGCTGCTGCTGCTGTATTCTCCCATGAGAGGCAGAGGCAGAAGAGGAGGTGGTGGTGAGCTGGGTGCAGCTGAAATAGACACTGCTGGCTGCTGCACAAATAGTAGATGTAATATCAAGAAACAGGCATGGGGTGTGTGCTAGGGTTATCACCCAAGAAAAAGTTTGGGGACCACTGTTTTAGCCAAAAACATTTTAAAAGAAAGATCTACAACCAAATGAGATAGCAGATCAGTTTTTTAAAAAGGTAAAGTGCACTATGACTTCCTTGATCCAACCTGCATCCCATTTGCTTCTTTGAGCTGAAACACCCAAAATTGATAAAGCAAATTCTGATTATAGAAGGGTCATAGTGTATTGGTAGAGCACATGCTTTGCATGCAGAGGATCCAAGGCTGTATGGCATTTCCAGATACACTGAAAAAAGACCCCATCTGAAATATTAGGGAGCCATTTGAAGGTCAGTGTAGACAATATTGAGTT